TCACTGATATTTCACCCAGCACTGAATGGATCAAGAACGGTGTTACTGTGGTTGGCGGAAATGGACCAGGTACGAGAAACGATCAACTTTGTGAACCACATGGACTTTATATTGATGAAGATAACACTATCTTCGTCGCTGATACTGCGAATCACCGTATCGTGGCATGGAAGTATGGTGAAACGAATGGTGTCGTAGTAGCTGGCGGAAATGGAGAAGGAGACCGAAACGATCAGCTGAATCGCCCAACAGATATGATTGCACACAAAGCGAGTAATAGTCTCATTATCTGCGACAGAAACAATCGACGAGTGATGCAGTGGCCTCGTCATGGTGGCACGACTGGAAAAATAATCATCTCGGGATTCGACTGTTACAGCTTGACGATGAACAATCAGGGATTTCTTTATGTCTCTTCACCTGCTGAGAATCTTATTCGACGATTTCGACTGGATGAGAGTCATGTGACAGTAGTGGCAGGTGGGAATGGAAAAGGTGATGGCCTTCATCAACTCCATTTGCCTTACTACATATTTGTTGACCGAGATAATTCATTGTACGTATCGGACGAACAAAATCATCGTGTGATGAAGTGGGCGGAGGGTGAGTCAAAAGGTAGTGTCGTGGCTGGTGATCAAGGTTATGGAAGTGATCTGAAACAATTGTGTGGTCCTCAAGGAGTGGTTGTCGATCGGTGCGGCACTGTCTATGTGGCAGAGCTTTGGAATCATCGAATAATGCGTTGGCCCAAAGATGCAACACGGGGAAGTATCCTGGCAGGTGGAAATGGCGAAGGAGAACAAGCGAATCAACTGAATAATCCAGAGGGCTTATCATTTGATCGATACGGCAACCTGTATGTCGTCGACCGATTAAACAATCGTGTTCAAAGATATAATATCGACAAGAGTCACGAACAACAATGATCAGCAGTGTTTGCACTGAATAAGACGTCAAAGTTATTCAATAGCAGTGTGACTATTGAGTAGGAAATATCATTTCTGAAGAAATATGAACTCCACAAGCTTATTCAAAAATGATTCTTTTTCGACTTGTATAGTTAGATCGAGTTGTGTACCAATGGGTGCACTATAAGCAATGGATCTTTCTTTTTTTTCTGAGTATTGAAGGTGTAGGTGTGGATGTATAGATGTGGCGTGTGTGGGTAAGGTTCTTTTCTTAACTTATACCTGTAGCCACACCCACACCCATAGATAATCGTTTGACTAGAATAAACAGAGGCTAGCAGCCTGTGAAAACCAGTGGTAGTGCCTGATGAAACACAGGATGTATGGGTGTGGGGTGTGGATTTGGCTGTGGATGTGGGTGCGAGTCTTTTCTAAATCCACAGCCACACCCCACACCAACAACCACATACATACCCTGCCTACACCCTTTGTACTCTAATATGATTAATGCAATAGTTTATTATTTCCCTGTTGTGCTGTATTTCGATCTTTGTGTCTGTTAGCATCAAAACGTACTGAATAATTTAAACTCTATTGATTCTGAAAGTTGTTTTACATTTCTTGCATAGAAAACTACTCAAAGATGAAGTATTACGGAAAGAAATCAATTGACTATAATCAGAAAAAAAAGCAGACTTCTGTGGCAGTTATCTATAAGTGCACGAGAGACGTTCAAGTAGTTTTCAATAAAACTTTAAGGGTATAAGCTGATCATAGACTGCTCGTCTAAGTATTATCGTATAGTATGTATGGTCCGAATATGAGATGTGACTAGCGATCTATGAAGAAAAGATTGGAAAGAATTCTGAGTTTCCTTACTTTGTTTCCTTACTATTGGATCATCCTGTATATTATGCGGATAAAAAGAAATTGTGCGTATCTAGAAATATTTGAAATCATTGGATAGTGGTCAAGCATGGATTTCAAGCTGTATTATTTACAGCAGTTCGCCAGACTATATAAGGCGCTGATGATTTTTTATGTCTATCAATGCATAGTTGCAAGCTCTGTCGAATGGTATGAGTTCCGTATGCATGTAGTTAAATTGTGTTTGACTGAGACCTTTACAATATGATAAAACCAGATAGGTCATCAGATTTTGAATCGTTATACTTGGAATGATGCGACTGAGCATAAAGCCACTCAGAAATTATACATCAATCGACGCAGAAGTCGGAGACTATGGGTGTCAGTATCGTTTAGGTAGAACAGGTATACTCACCAGCATTGAACATAGTAACTCTGTTTATGTGAAATAATCAATAAGTTCATTCTTTTTTTTATGATTTCGTTAACTTCAGGTTCAATCTCGTCATTCTCTTACACAAGACTGCTGGAGGGTGTCGATGTAGAACAAGAAGTAGATGCATCTTCACACCCACACCCATATGAATCCTTGTTACATGCATTCATCTATAATTGCATATAGGAACTCATTGTTTTAATTAATTTTCTCATATTTATAATCCACATTCAAAAATTGGATGCATCAGTCATTTGTAACTCATGAACTATTTAACATCTCGGTATTATTAATATTTGACTATAAAACTGAATACGAATTATTCGCCATGTATCTTTTCAATTTACAGACAATGTAATTTTAACTACAGTTTTTGATAAAATGATTCCGTGCATTCTCTTCTGTCATACACTTTACATTGAGTTCATACATTAAAACATAGATGATATTAAAAAAAGAAACTTGTTGTCAACATGTCTTAGACAATGTTTTTCAGGTAGTCAAGGAGAATTGCGTGTATAGCTGAGTCGTTCCAGTTGTGGAAGATATTCAAATAAATATGATAGATAGCTTAGTGAACAATCTCGAAGTACAAGTAATTTTAATTTTCAAAAGACTAGTTTGAATAGGCATAAAAGTTCTATTAAGTGGTTAAACGAGTTGACCATCTCGAGTTTTTTAGAGTATAACGGATGATGGTTGATTCGATTTCATTCTAGTGAAATGATTATTTCTATCTAATCTTTCGTACGAAATGGAGTCAGTCATTTGAGCATATTCGTTTTAATCATACCAATATAGTAATGTTGATAAATAATATGATTATAGATAGTTCTAAATGAACTCGTGAAACGCTTTCGTTTTCTATTTAAAATAATAGATATCTATCTTTACTTCAACAAAAAGTCTCATACTAAAGGAAGAACATATATGTGAGATTTTTTGCATCAAGCGAGGCTTCTTATCAACATCAAACATATCATAAATAGATCTACATTGGTGGCTGTAGGAAAGTGTTGAGGATAAGTTTAAATAGATATATAATTAAGTGTAACTTCTTTGCCAATGAAACAAATCTGAATTTATCTATTTTCATTTCTCAATACCATAACTTGACCAGCATGTGTGATATTGACAGCGACCGATCCAGCGGGATAGAAGGGTTCACCATCCATATGCACGGGCATCGGATGGCTAAGTTCGATGCGTGTTTGACTGCATTGAGCAATGCGATTACCACAAAAACTCATATGAATTAAAGCCATCTGCCTTATATTTAAACTGAATACTTGAATATTTCGATCACCAAAATCTCGTGTCTTGAAATATTCCATAGTAGGATGGGTCACATTATGAAAAGTCATCCTTCGACTGCTCTTCTGATCATTGACAGGAAAGTCATGTGTTTGAAACGAACTTGAGGAGGTCTGATCAAAAGAATCATCATATCTTTGACTATTCAATTGTGATGTGTTTCTTTTCGTTGATATTCTGCCCCATAGACGAGTACCAGAACCAAAGCTTGGAGTATTAAGCACAGCTAAAGAATGACAATGTTGCATGGAATCAGTCAAGTCTTGCCTGTCACAAATTAAGCGTATGTATGCACTTAAATTCCATGCCATTCCAAATGCAAATTCCTTGAAATACTTGCGAGCTTCATTTATATAAAGAATTTTATTTTTGAATGGCAATGTAAATTTAAATGGATTACGTGTGCGACGAACGTGAAAATCGAGTACAACTGCTGCATCAAATCCAAAACTTATGTAATTGAAAAAGAATTTTCTAATTGCCGTGCGATGATTGTCGTACAATGGCTGATTGGCATCGCGAATGAACTTTGGATGATCCATGAACGAGAAAAAACGTCGACGTATGTTCATATATTGCTTACTCGATGCGTTCATTTCTAATATTTCAATTTGGATTTTCCAGCGATCGAGTGACACGGGATGTGCTCGAGTTATTTGTGTAAGTGTTTTCAGCAATCGCCTCAATTCATAGCGATATCCCCAGCCAAGTACACTTGACAAATGATTGCCAGTATCTAATGAACAAATGCTTGCTGGTGGATTTTTCAACCGTGGAAATTCATTCACAAGATGATTAAGCACCAAGCTAACTGTGTCATCACCATCGGAGATACAAATACGTGTGTTGTTCAAAGACAAGTAGGTGCTCAGAGCTTGTATAGTAGTTGTATCGTTTTTGAGTAAAAATACTTGGCGAGGATTGAGTAGACGAACGAGCATATGGTAGACTTCCTGACCTTTCTGACCGCCGGAAAGTTTATTGATGAAAAAGCTGTTAGTGCAATCCCTTGCGGGATTAAAAATGTGAAACACGATGGACCTACTGTTACTAATTAAATGGAAATCCTTTTGTTCCATTTCCTTACGACACATTTGTAGCTGACCGTATATTTGAGCTTTACAACTACAATTCCTGTGTCACGGTCTGTGATGGGTACCCAGATTCTCTGTCACGGTCTGTGACGGGTACCTGGATTCTCTGTCACGGTCTGTGATGGGTATGGATTTTCTCTGTCACAGTCTGTGGGGGAGGTGCAAAATTTCTACCCTATACACTTCAACACTCCTTTCAGATCGTGTTTCACAAAATATAACTGATATTGACGATATATCGTTCATCTGAAGATGATCAGATATTTGCGCACGAAAGTGAAAAGAAGAATCAGCTACGCGGTGTAACCATTCCGAACGAACAACAATTTTACTAAATATGAATCATAACATGAAAATAATACTAACATTTTCTATCTGAGCTTACCTATACTTACCATAATCACATTTGCCACTGTTTTCATCATCTTGGATACCTTCATTACCTGCTGCGCAAGTTGTTGCAGAATCACTTGCTGCTTCATCATCATATGTTAACTTGGTTGAAGCTCGTTCATCCGTACCATATGGTGTGTCTTTTAATGCCTTATTTTTAAAATATGTGCTCAGTAGGGAAAGAGTCGAAACATATGACCAGCGGTACTGATTATGTACATCCATAAATGATGGGCGACATAGTGGAATGCTATGATGCATACTTTCCATTGCTTTTTGCAACTGGAAGAAGTGAATGGCATACATGGTTGATGAACAAAGTCGCGCACTGAATGAGAAGCAAGTCAGAAGTCGATTTATAGGTTTTACATGAAATACAGGCACATCAGTGTGAAGTAGAAGGTTTCTTTGATGAATAGAACAGACACCAATGCGATGTAGACTTCACACGATCGCTTCAATCGATGCCATAGAAAAAGAAATCAAAAATATCTTGAGGTAACGGTAATTTACTACGAAAGCAAATACATGATTTCACATAAAAAAACAGAAATAGTTAATTTTTCGTCTAAAAACTATGCAGATGCAATAGTTTTTAGAGTTAAATGTTGTTCTGTTAAAATGCTTCGAAAATGAAAATAAAGTAACAAAATATTGCTCCAAACATCTCGCGAGTTATGATTCTAGTGTTGGTGAACACAGATCCTAATGAACCTAGAAAAATATCAAAGATTCAGGTCAATAATATATACGAATCGATCGAGCTTTTAAGTTTGTGCATATGATTAATGTAGTCAGAATATAAAATATACGTCAATGATGCATACGTGGATGTTAATCGTAAATGTATAACGGTAGAAAAAAATGAACAAGAGAAATGTTAAGGCTACGACAGAGTGAAAAAATAGTAAAACGGAACGGAGAAAAGAAGAAAGGTGAAGAAACTATAACTGTGGAGGTAGAAAAAGACAGCCAATAACAAGTAAGTCGCTTGCTTCAATGTCAAACCGTTGATCAAGAGTGGCTACCCGATTAAATATCACCGTGACTCGGAGTGTCACTATGGGAATTTATTTTCCATCTATCTCTTCGACAATATAAGTAAAAATCGAAACTTTTAGCTCAATTGGTTGAGCTTCAACAAGTTGTCATAAATTATACACATCTTGATCATGTCTCTACGTCGATTTTGGATTAGCAAACTTTGTCTTGTAGACTATCTGGGAAAAACGTGTTTCTAGACCTTGTTATTTTCTACCGAGATTGGGGAAACACAGATAATATTTCGAACACCTGATTGAGCTTTCTTGAGTTTAGTGATGTCGCTCAAATGCTCAAAGTTTCTTTGCATTGATAGAAGTTTGGGGAAACGCATTATTTTTTATTTTAAGATTAACATGATATGAATTTGTTTATTCTATTTTTGAATTAGGAAAGTGCGTTTTTATAGAAAGAACCCATAACTATCATTGAACCGTAAGATCTTAAGGATGAGGGTAAGTGTCATGGTGGTATGTGGGTGAAAGTCTAATCTGCATAGATCTGAACAGGCATATTCACATCGCTAATCTGAAGTTGAAGTGTCTAGAAGATGTATTGCTGTCGATATTTTGTCTGATGATGCTGGGTAGACTGATTAGAAATAGAATTTAATGAAAAATACCTCGTTCAGACGGGCCTTGGTAATTATGACCTAGAATCAAGTAAAGCCTAAGAGCCGATACATTCCTAATTTTCAGAATCAGCGTACTGAACTGCACACAGTCAAATATCTTTCTATGAAAAGGTGATTGATTATTTACAGGACCTTCTGTGTCAGCAAAAAAAGAGCCTAGTGCAATGCAGACTCCAAAAGTTGAGATTTTTGCATAACTCTAGTACCACTGTTCTCGTATGTTGTATAAAATATTTCGTTCGTGTAAATTTCATTATCAACAGGAAGAGATTGTTATGATTTTATTTATTCTCTTTTCTTTAACTTCATTAGATTAAAGAAAACTATGAATAAAAATCGAAAAAGGAATCTGATGGTTATTTCTTATTTTTTTCGATTGTCGTTTAGTTTTTGCTGTTGTTTGTCCATTGTCTAGGTCAGCTGATAAAGTTTCTAATGCTGCAGTTTTTTGTCCATAAATTCCAGCTAAGGATATTGGTTCGTGAATGTCGTCACCATTGCCAGGTGTAGCCAATTCAACACACCAACGACGAGCATTTTCTGTACTGAGTTTATCAAACTTATGTTCGATGACAAGTCGTCCATCGCGTAAAAGAGCAGCATTGATACTTTGGACATCACAATGAAAAGTGCTAATGATTTATTGATGCACAGCATCACGAAGTAAACCATCTGATAAACTCAACAAATTGGAAACAGCCTAATTGGTCATGAAATCTTCTTGGTTTCGATCACGAATTATATTTTCGGCCTCTTCTATAATCAGAACTGAGTTTGGATGTTGCATAAGAAATGGTAAGAAACTCGGCTTTGTCATATCCTAAAATGAATAAATTATTAGTTTAGTCATCATTCTATGCTCTTTTATTTATATTAGCTACAATTCTTCGACAATGCAACATAAATTACGAATGATTTTATCGATAAATATTGTCAGCATGCCTTGAGAAGGATGATAAATTATGCAAAGAGCAATTTAGTTCGGCAATATTTAGTTTAACGATCAATTTTTAGTCGTATAGAAAAAATTGATTTTCAAAAGTTTTCCTGTAGCTTTCAAAATAAAATATCTTCATGCTTTTCAAATGAGTCGACTTCAACAAACAATTCCGATCAAACTTTTTATTCTCAATATAACATCGAATCAAGATTGTTTTTGAAAAGAATATATTCGAGGGCGATAAATAGTATAATGATTCTGTTTTAAATCATTAAGATCAATATTCAAAACACTACTACATATACTCTATTGAAAACAACTTTTTATGCTGATTTCAAGAATGGTATTCTTCTCTAGTTTAAGTAAATTAATAAATCAACTGGCGACATTTTGATTGGAAAAATGACGTCAAACTAGAATTTGTATTGGAATTGTTCAAAACACTTAACGATTCGTTCAATGACCATGATGAACTACATAGCAACGATATCAGGTACTTAGGTTACTATTAAAAAATTTTTGACATATAGCCAAAATAAGGTTTTATGTAAGAGAGATAACAAGATAATAAATTGATAACAGGATCTTCAAAAATCGAATCTCACTAGTGAAATTTTTGTTCTCATGTTCTATTAATGACATCTACATATACCGTTGCTAATGATTGTGATTGCTGTTGTTGTTTTATTCGAAATAACGAATTCAGGAGAAATCAATAGGAACGGCATATTCAAATAAGAAGAAGCAGCACAAAAGAATAAAAAAAAAAGAAATATATAAAATCTAATACAATTTCGATCAATATTGATAAATAACTAAAAATATTATTAAAATATAATCTAGGATTATTTGCCTGTTTTTTTTTTCCATTAGATTTTTTTCTATTATTTGAAGACCTATAATAGAGTCCTTGTCTACCGATGAAAAGCAGTATTTTAGTTAGAAGAAAATAATAAAATATGTACTCCAGCATAACAATATATATAATAAATCTAAATAGTTATCAAATACGATATGCTTTTTCAACAAATAGATAAATTAAGGTATCATGTTAGAGTTACTCTATTTGATTAGCAAGTAGATATATTCTCTCATCGATAACGAGCTTTTAATTGTTCACGATTATTTTAGAATAATAGCCATGTGCAGTCAGATCCCAATTATACATTCAATTGAGAGAAAATTTCAGATTCAACAGCATTTTACCAACTGGTAATACTGATGAAATATTGATGCAAGGTTTTTTTCAATCATAATTCATTGTATGTTGAATTGAGATATTGAAGAGGAGCAGATAAGGATGATGATGATGATAAGAAAAAAAACAATGGATAAATATGGAATTTTGCGAGAAAACTTTCTAGGCAGTCTTTTAACCTGATATGTCAAACTTATAGATTGTCTATTACTTTATTGTATTGATGCAAGCAGATGTTAGCTGAAAAGCTACTGCTAGACACTATTTATTTACGCAATAATCGATCATGAAAGCGGAGATTTCTTATGTTTATTAGAATTTTTCTTTTTTTTACAGAAGCACTAGTTTTTGTTTGTATTGTTGCTATTCTCTTGTCATTTGTCTTTTTCTTATTGTAAACTTCGTAATGTAACTTTATTATTTTCGTTCGCCTCGATTCGAATAGAAAAGTAGGATTGCTGTAAATATCCTTTAATATTGATTAGACTACCAGAGTTTTACATACAAATAGATATATTCATAAATTTCGTTAGTTTGATTATTAGACTATATAATGTATTATTTCAAATTTCAACATAAGTTTTAAAATATTCTAGGAGTATTGTAGCACTGTTGTTGTTGTTCAATGCATGAAATTTCAATCCCTAAAGTCTGTAATGTAGAGGCAGGCCAAGAATTGCAAAACTTCTATTTAAAGTTTAAGTTCAGTATTTAGCTGTAAATTATCGGTGCATTCTGCAAGATGAACGCTTACAAAATAAGAAAAAATGAACAGTATAGAAATAGTGTGCATGATTAAACATACGAGTTTGATAATAGTTATTATTCGACGAAGTGATAAGAACAATTGATAAAAACTAGAGTGATTGCTTTAATTATTGATAATACGTAGATGAAAGCGTGTTATGCATAAAGATCAACGTTACACTCATATCCTTCTATCCCATATAAGAGGAAAAAATCACGAATGTTTCACTGTAAATTCAGTAAGCAGCCCGTCTCTTAATGTATTCAATATGATTGAATAAATTCTATTTTCTATACAGAGCTTCTCATTGTGTCGTTGTGTATTATACTTCATAGAGGTGAGCTGAATTTCTTTCAAGACAAAAAACAGAACATTTTTTTTTCTTTCCATACAGACTGAATATAAATAGAAGGCACCTAATATTTTCAATATTCAAAAATTTCTGTTTGTTCTCTGATGAAAAATAATTCATGATTAGAAGGTGGAAACCAATCAGACAACATGTAGCCAATTTTATGTAGCAAACAAGATTCTTCTTTTCTTTTATAGAAGAATTAATAAATTACTTTGCGCTCTATTTCATAATACAAGATACCGTATAGTTAGATTGTGAAAATCGAAGTTACAAACGTGTTTTCACCATTGAATTATTTTTATTAAAGAAGTAGAATTCACACGACTATAGCCAGTAAGATGAAGATCGAATTAAAAAGTTTATCACCATCACCGACGTCAAATTTTCACCCAATGTCCATCTGGTCAGAAAATGCGACATCAAGTGTGCTTACACAAGATTTCTCTGTCAAAAATAGAGCCAAAACAGAAGACGATGATGACGATAGGTAAAAATAAACTTCGATATTATTTGTGTAACAAGATCATCTAGAAAGTGCGTCTATTTCTCTGTTTTATCTAATCCAGTAGTAACAATAAGAAAAGATCTTTTCTTTGGCTACCATGCTGCAAATGTTGTATCGTCGGAATGTTGCTCGGTGGTATAGCTCTGGCTATAATACTCACTCTTTGGTTGACAACAGGATCGGATATGTCAGCAACAATGTCTCAAAGTATGTTCTGAAAAAAGAAGAAAGGGTTCAATAACATGCGAGATCAGTTTTCTAAAGAAACTTTTTTTTTTCGTCAATGTTTCACAGTCGCAAAACATGGTCAAAACTAATCTCTTGTTTAATCAGTCATATTATACTTCATAATATTATTTACACACTTATCGAGATAGACAAATATCATCTGAGATCGAGCGAATTACTCTGTTAATTAAGCATATCGATCACCAGTGACTTGCACGTCAATTTATTTAAGATTCGCTTATTTTTGGATGTTGCAATTGACTTTGACTAAAAGTTAAGTTATTATCTTTTGTTTTTGATACTTAATTTCATCTATATCTTCTTTTTTATTGCGAGATGCAAATAATTTAAATCTAACACATAATAAATTATTAATGATTGAAAGTTACTTGAAATGAGCAGGCACGTGTCATTATTTATGAAAATGATAATTAGTTTTTTTTACGAATCTGGTGGCCAACTAGATCAGCTATCATATAATATGCTAAAGCTTTCAGGTATTACTACGACAGTGAATGTAGTTGAGGGTCGCTTTTTCGCCATCACATCAACAATATGCTCGTCAAAGTCATACGAGTAGTTAGTGTGTATGCTTTTTTTTAGCATGAATTCATTACATAATCAGTAACTTATTGTACATTATCATATCGTTCTCTTCGTGGAGTACTTTGAGGACCGTCATCGTCAATTTTTTGTGTTAAGTGAACATGCTAAAAAAACCTAGACAGAGATCTAAAGATCATTTTATAACAGTTACTTGTCAATTCTTGCAGTTCACTAAAAGTCCCACACAGTAACACTTAAGCCAAATGTGTGCATGAGCTACACTTCTGGATGGGAATATTTCCTTGTGAAAGTTCTCAATCGTACTTTGCACGAATTTGCTTGCCCCCCCCCCCCCCCCCCTCCTCCCAGTATAGTTCGAGCTCGCATTGACTTTGATATTTATTCCTGTCAAAGTAGCGGTAAATTATAGCTATTATCGTGGATGATCACCGTGAAGATGTCATTAGAAACTTGTGAAGAATACTTACTGTTGAATCTAAATAGGCAAAAAATGCCTTAAATCTTTAAAACGATCATACAGAATATACATAAATGTCACTACGAATATTACCAAAACTGATCAGGTCCGAGTAGCATGCAAATAAGTTCCATCAACAAGATTTGAAACTAAGATTGCCTCTAGAAGTAACTATAGAATAAGTTTTTACATAACTACTATATTTGCAAGAGCCTTCAAAAGCTGCCATCGAGTCCAAATCTACTCACCTCCAACTCTCGCACATACACCCAAACCTGGTTCCCAACTCACATATAGACCTGCAATTCATACAAATATTCCACGTAAGTTTTTCTACAATAGAAATGTCTTGCCAGCGTTTTTCTCTGAGAAAAAATAGAAAGCCATTCTATGGACAATGGAAAATAATAATTTTGCATCTTTCCATACAAGCGAGAACACGATAGTCATTGCTGAACCGACTAAAAGTATAATGCTTATATTTGAGAAAAGTATTTCAAATTGAAATCTTCAAATTTCATTAATATTATTTTGTTCTATTATGATCTTCTCGAAACAGAAGTTTTCGTTTGTATCTTTCTATTAACATCGCTCTCATAGAGGAACTAACTGAGCATTTTGTTACTCCTTAGCTTTACAATCAAAAACAATGACAACTTCTTCAAGTTCCACTACGAGTGCTTGTAAGTAACTTAGGAATAAGATCTTAAAAAATACTACCATAAAATTTTTTTATAATAACATTTACTACGAATCTTACAGCGACAACAACAACTACGACGACGTCAACATCAACTACTACTACTATGACAACTACCTCAACAATTACCACAACTACATCAACGGCAACAACAACTACTACTACAACTGCAACAACTACGTCGATTTCGACGTCAACGACTACTACAACTACCGCTACAACAGCTACAACAACTACATCATCTTCAACGTCAACAACTACTACTACTGAAACAACAATGACAACCACGACCATGTCTACATCCACTTCAACGTCAGCAAGCACTACTACATGTAATTTTCACAGTTCAGTCACATATATTGTAGAAACTTGTTCATCTTGTCATTTTAGCCACGACGACTACTACTGAAAAAGATGCATGTGAGTTATTTCACACCACAACGAATTCAGGTCTTGAATTTAAAATATCATTTTAGGTTCTCATTATCTTTGGAATCAAACAGGCGTTGTAGTTGCAGGCACAGGCATAAAAGGTCCAGCTTCTAATCAATTCGATACTTCTGAGTGTTTGGTTATCGATGCAAACAAAACACTTTATGTATGTGATCATCATAATAACCGAATCCAGAAATGGCTTTCGAGTGCAACAAATGGGAGCACAGTAGCTGGTGCCAGCGCGGCCACTGGTGCGAGCGCTATTGGTGATCCTGAATATCTAGCTATGGACAAAGATGGATATTTGTATGTTACTGGGCATGTATACGATACCGTTTTACGAATTTCTCCCATTTCATTCGTTGCTACAGTAGTTGCTGGGACTACTAGTTCAGGAACAGGAAATAATCAGCTTGATACACCAACTGATATGGTTCTCGATGATAATTTAAATCTTTACGTTGTTGATTCAAATAACAAACGAGTAATGAAGTGGATCCCGAATTCGACAACAGGAATCGTTGTCATTAGTAACCTGAATAGTGATATGGTTGTTGGAATTCAATTTGCGTCTAACTCAAAAAATGAGTTTTATTTGAGTGATGAAAGAAACAATCGTGTATATTTGTGGGAAGCTGGTGTATCAGCTGCGAACATAACCCTTAGTCAAGTTAATAGTTCTACTAGGAATACTCTAAGCCAACCACACGGAATCACTATAGACTCATATTATAATTTGTATGTTGCTGATAGTGGAAATGATAGAGTAGTGTTGTATTGTGCTAACTCACGCGTTGGTATTCCTGTGGTTGGAGAAACTGGTACTACACCCGTGCTCAGCCAGCCAATGGACGTCGCATTTGACTCAGATTTCAATTTATATGTAGCTCTTCATGACAGTAAAGTAGTAAAATATGCGCGACTCTAACTCGACTATACGCTGCATTTCTGCATACTAACATTATATGATGACATTTTCACTAATAGTTTTTCAGTTGGACATTTATTTTATTACTAATCAAGCTAAAATAAATAAAATTACTAATCTAATCATTATTCATAAGTACAAAAATAAAGATAATGATCGAAATAAAACTCATACACAACATGATCTGTGCATTTTTCAAAATTGATCGATATACTATAGACTATAATTAAGTTCACAAGATTTTGAATGCATAACTGTACACATAGTTGCAGATATTGAAGTAACACATTGGCAGGTATAACTTCCAAAAGCCATAATACAAATCAATCCTAGTAGCAAATTGAGAGTGGTTCACTCAGTTAGACAAAAGCAACAAGAACAAAAATGCGTAAAATGAAGTCAAAAATAAACGTTTTTTTACATGTTTTATTTCGGAATTAAGCAAATTCTACGAGGTAAAGAGACAGCTCAATACTTTATGATTATTTGTGAGCTAGTTAAGACTATATCTCCTAACTATTTTCATTTTATCCCAACCATGCAATGGTGAATGTATTGATGTTCGGTAAGAATAGAGTTAAAATAATTAAGAGATATAGTCTTAACTAGCCCTCAAATAATCACGAAGTATTGAATTATCTCTTTATTCTAAAGGATTTGCTTATATGATTATAACAGAAAGTAACCATGTATCGGTAAATAACTATCACATGCGCATGTTCCATAACATACATTTGCACTCACTTGTCAATATTTTATTTGAAGATATGTTTTGAAGATATTGACTACTGTTATTAAACTTTTCTCTGATGATGATTCTATGATCGCAATAAAATCAAAATAACAATTCATTGACGTAAATGATAACAAAAAAAAGCTGATACACTAGATGACCATAGATCGATTGCACATATGACAAAATTGTCTAAGACAAAGTAAAGCAAATACAAGGAACACATTTCTTGTTCTCTACGCCAGAATATTTCTCAATTGGTTATTCTTATCATATCTTGATTTAATGACAAGAAGAAAAATTTATTTACATGACGAGTATGTCTTTGAGCAATAATCAATGAAATAGTTTATAAAGCAAAAACTAATATCATGAACGCGCTCGAGTGAAAGAAATCTCAGAAAAGGGTGTCGATCTTCTGCTCACTCACACCCATATCCTAAATAAAGTAAAAGTTCAATCTAACAATGTAGCTTACTCGATATACAAGAAATCAACTTTTTGTACAGAAGATGAATTGGAAATTTCATAAAACACTTTTAAAAAGATTAAACTAATCATATGAGTTGAGACTTTTTTCATCAAAATAAGCGTAACACAAAAATATTTTCATATTTAAATTACATTCTCAAGTGTATGCCAATCTGACAAAAACATCAAACAAAATCATTCATTGTCATTTAAATTCAATAGCTCACTCTATCAAACTGATGTTTGAATTCAAGATTCCATGTAACTCTAAATATAAGTTTATTAATTCTTCATTGGTTTGAGATAACTAATATAATTCTGCACTATTCAGACTAACACTCATCGTTCCACTAGTAACTAACACTTTTTCATTTGTTAATAAGGATACTGTGTGTTTTATAGAAATGCAATTAATCTTTGCTAGAAAACGTCGATTTTATGCATCAATACCATAATTAACGCTCGTTGTTTTGGTTCCGTTTGGTTTTATATCAAAAAGTTAATAAATGAACACAACTCATTTTAATAGTTCAAAGATTTCGATCTGTTTTTTTTTTCTTACTGAATTTTGAAAAAAAAATCTATTGTGTTCTTATAAAAACTTGGACAATATTCATATATGATATTGTCTTACAAAATTCCTTATGTAATTAGTTGAAAAGAAGAGGGTGTGAGGTGTTGATGTGGATGAATGAAGAGAAGAACCACACCCACACCTTCTAGGTACTACATGTAATGGGATTTTGAGTGGAGATCTTCCCTTACTACAGTTATGCATAGATTATTTAATAAGAATTGACGAATTGAAGAAGTAGCGCTGTCACCACCTCGATACAGATGTTAATCATACTGCTCCAACACTTCAGTTGTGTACGTCTTCGCGATAGAACACAAGCCTATACCAGAGAGAGAGAGAGAGGAAGAGACAAAGAGAACAGCAAATACATTAAAAAGAACAATAATACGCAGAAAATAAGAATAATAGAACGGCCAAAAGGAAAAGAAGACATAACGATGTAGCGGTGATCACACTTCTAAGCGGGTGAAAGGTCAAGCAATGCGTCCGACGGAAGTGCTTCAATTATTGGCATATATATATATAATAGAAATCTAAGTGCAGTGTTAGGCTTTTTAATACTCTATCATGAAAAACTTTGATTCTAACAGCAAACATACGAAACTGATAAAAAATAAAATGTAAGTCTTCTTGATTACGAAATTTTTAAAATCTTTTTTTCTCCATACACAATTCTTTTGCAAATATGTAAATGGGTATGGCCAGCTAACTCTGCTACCGGAGTGAAATTCCGTAACGTTTTTCGCTTATTTTGTTTCCTCGATAAATATCAGGCAGTAGCACGTAAAGAGTTGCGAGACATCTTAAATTAAAGAGAAAAGTCTTGTACATATTCTAAGATATTTTTCGCTTTTGGAGCGTTTGTCGTTTCCAAGATATAATTAAAAAACTGATAACTACTTTTCAATTCTGAAAATTATTACTTTTTCAAAAGTGGTGTTCAATTCTTTTGTTATATCTTGGAAACGACAAATGTTCCAAAAGCGAAAAATATCTTAAAATATGTACAAGACTTTTCTCTTTAATTTAAGACGTCTCGCAACTCTTCACGTGCTACTGCCTGATATTTATCGAGAAAACAAAATAAGCGAAAAACGTTATGGAATTTCACTTCGGTAGCAGAGTTAGTTGGCCATACCCAAATGCAAAATAAATTCCATACATCTATTTATTTTCACATATTACTAGTAGTTTCGCAATTAAGACCTCCCTCATCCTTCAGAAAAAAGTTAATTGTCATCGAAAATTGAGAAAAATATATGGGAAGATCGCTAGAGATGTAGTGTTTCAGAAACAGTGTGATTTTTAATTTGGCACATTATTTTTTACCCAAAATTTTTGAAGATTGGCGTTCAAAAATACGCATTTTTCAAATAAAATAGATCATTTTTTTCCTTTTTTTTTTCATTTCATGATTTATCCAACACGCAAACAAAAATTCTCTGCCAGCATCATTTGAAAAAAGGGCTGTTTAATGCCGTGTATGCTAACATAATCTTTCAAACAAAAAAATAAATGCAAAGAATAGGCCTGAACAGAGAAATTTGGTTTACCAAATAAGCTATTTTTAATCTTTGTTTGATCAATATCATCCTCAAGCGTCATAGTACATGACTGAAAACTTCATGCGATTTGACCGTACCTGGACTGAGATCGGTTTTATAGGGGAACCGTAACTAATTGAATCAAAAAACAAATAAATAAATAAATAAATAAACGAATACAAATGAGATTGAAGTTCAACGAAATCTGAACGTAAAAAATGAAAAATATTTTCAATCGATGACGTATCATTAATAACATCTACTTTGTTTCGAAGAACAATATTGTTTTGATTATGTTCTTTACTTTCACTATCACTACTATTAACTATTTGAATTTGTTATTTGTTTTTTAAAAAATGGCTTGCCTGTGCCTGAGACATTTCGAAGGATAGAATTGTTTATGTCGTTTTATAGTTGCTGATGATGAATGATGTAAAAAGTAAATTGACCATATTCGTTTTTGAAGTTTAATGTTACCTGATGGACAATTATAAAATTCCATCGTAATTTATTACGATGCAAGAAATTTTCAAAGATTACCTCATCTTTCAGTGGTCCCTATCCTTCCTCGAACAATCAAATGTTATTATTGGCTGACCTCTCCCTTCTAAACTTGATTACATAATTGATTGGTTTCATTGTTATTTTCTGATATTTTCTTCAGTTTAAGCACAACTAACAATGACAAAGTTTGAACAACTACCAAACGAATTACTACTAAGATGTTTCCGTTATTTTGATTTCTACAATTTGTATGAAATATTTTATTGTTTAAATCAACGCTTTAAAGAATTAATTGAATATCAAACAAAAATTTGTATCTATTTACATTCAATTCCATCTAGAAAATTTTTAACATTTTGTTTTCAATTAAATCAATTAATAACAACACGTCAAAACTATCCTTTATCAATTATAGCTCATGATCAGTACAAACTTGATGTGATGTTAGAAGATGATTTATTTAAAGCAACATTTTCTAAATTAAAATCATTAACATTATCAAACATAGAGACTGAAACTATATATTCTATTATATTTGTTAAAACAGCAGAATTATATCAAAGATTAGAACGATTAAATTTACTAGTTAAAATCAAGGGAGAATTTGGCAAATACGATGACATAGAACGTAAGAATAACAATATTTAATTATCTTTGTGATACAAACTCGCCTTTATATATTTAGGCTTATGTAGTAGTTTGATATCATCAAAAATGAAATTATTAAAATATTTTATGTTAAATTTTGAACGATCTTGGAGTGTATGTGAATGTAATTTGTACATGCGTTCAAATTACCTTGATTTAGAATTTACTGAATTAGTAGAAGGAGAAAAATCATTTAGTCATTTAGAAACAATTATTATTGGCAGTAAGTTATTTTAATACTATGTTCTTCTAAACATGTCTCTAACTTATATCCATAGGTATGTCTGATGATTGTTATCTTTCAGAAACAACAATATGCTTTCATATATTGATAGAACATTTATTACCATGTCTACCAAAATTAAAAAATTTAATTATAGATTCAATTCATTTTGAAACGTTCTATGATCGACAAAAATATCAAGTATGCGAAAAGCATTCTTAGAAATCATCAATCCAAAGTTTTAATCTGAATCCAATAGCCATTGGAAAAAAAGAGATGATGTCATAAGAATGAACTTATAATTGACTTTACTATCTCTTGGATCAGATTTACCAATCGAGTTTAGACTAGTGACCGTGACCAAAAAAAAAATTGGTCACGCCGGGAACTAGTTTCAATACACTATGATACTATTTTTTAGAAAGAAAGTTTCTATACACTCTAAAAAAAAAAAGGTTTTTTACAGAACCCCCGAAAAAGGTTCCGTAGATTTGAAAAAGCTTGCAAATGCATTCAAATGCTTAGAAAATGATTTTTCAATTCTACGAAACCTTTTTCCTGCGAAACCTTTTTTAAGTTCCGTACAGCAGAAAAAAGTTTCGTACAAGAAATACGAAACCTCTAAGGTTTCGTATTAAATTCTAACGGCTTTTTACTAAACACTAATGGTTTCGCACTAAACCAGTAGAATTTAATGCGAAACTTCAAAGGTTTCACAGGAAAAAGGTTCTTCCCGTGTATACAGGGGAAGAACCTTTAAAGGTTTCATAGAACTGAAAAATCGTTTTCTAAGCATTTGAGTGCATTTGCAAGCTTTTTCAAATCTACGGAACCTTTTTCGGGGTTCGGTAAAAAAACCTTTTTTTTAGAGTGTAGAATTTTTCTGCAATAGGAACCATCAGCTACAACAACAAATTCAATTTCGCCATTAAATTTAGAATTAATTAAAATCTGGATTCAGGAAAACAAGGACGCGGAAGACGATATGAAAAAAAATATAAATTTAGTACGAAATTTCTTTATTAATAACAACTCGTATGATATTACAACAATTAAAGTATTCAAAATTAATAACAATAATGTTTTTTAGAACTTTGTCTGTTTATCATTTATATGATAAACTTTCGTATTTAACTTTTTATTATGAAGAAAACAAATTCTTCAAATATTCTTTGTTTATGTGGTTGAATAAAGTAGAAAAAGAAGTAAAACATTTTCTCTTCTTATCTATAACATTCATTTTGAAATAATGAAAAAAAGCGAATTATGTTCTTGTACTTTTGTATTTAGCTTCACGTTAAATGACATAATCAAGATACTATAAATTTAGAGAAAGTTTTTTGTTTTTTCTATGCCATATAATAAACTTCTAATGAATAAATTTTTTGTCACAGTGGCTATCTCTAAGGTATGTTGAGCTTTATGAATATCATCTATATCAAATCTTCATTCTACAATAAACTATCAATGACAATTTCTTTGTCATATTATTGATTTTTTTCATGTGAAACTTAAACAAAATCTTTATGCCAACAGTGTGTTATCATTTCAGTGTGATCTACTACATTAATATCGAATGGACTGAGACCTCACATTCGTACCTACATTTATGATTATCATAATAAGTAAGAGAAAAAGGGTCATATCAATAAGTTTCTGTTTATATGTGCCACGTGAATGACGTGAAAAAAGAACTCGACTTAACCAGAGATGAATTCGTGCAGTCAGATAATATTCATGTTGGTGTTCAACAAGCAAAGTGCGAATATGGGTTATTTTAGACTGTCATATTTCTTTTCGTTCTTTAAAAAATAACCGTTTGACCATTCGCCTTTTCGATATAAATAGACACGTATCAATACTCAAATCGTTTGGGATTAAGTGGAGGCCTAGTATTCGAGCTCCTCAAACTACTTCAGTTTCAATATGAATCTTTTCTCTAAAGTCTACTATTTATATTTAATATATTTCTTATTATATATAGGGTATCTCAAAAAGATAGGTCTCCCACATCGTTTTTTATTCAAGCCTTTATTTTATTTTCAACGAACAATGGTGTTGGTACGTTGATCATATGATTATATAGATATGTCTACCTAGTAAATCCAGCCACTATTTATTTCTTTTGTTTATTATTCTATCTGTGAGAAGTATTAAAAAAAGAAAGGAATTACTATCCCAAAATTCTTCACGATGCAGCTGAATATGAAATTTATGTCAAGTGTGAGTACGTTAAATTCTAGACAGTAGGATGTTGGTGTACGAAACTGAGATTATCTCAACCCATTAAAAAGATTTTCGTTGAAATATTCATAAATTAAAATTAATGATTTCAAATGAACAAAAGGGTTCATTCTCAAAACAGATACAATTTTTGTATAGGCAAACACTATCGAAAGACACTTTTAACAGCTATTACATCTTATACATCAGCTCACGATTTGAGAGACGCTCGTTATTTAGAATAGTTAGTTAATCCATACATTTGATAGATGATGAGTAACTTTGATAGATTTGGTTATTGCACATGCAAATGTCTTAGTGACAAATGATGAAATCGTTGTTCTGTTGCTTTGTACAAAAGATATGTTTTGATAAGTGATGACGACATGTGCAAATAAAAGACAGAAGAAAACGACTTGCTTGTATCAAATACAATGAACACTAAACGAGTTGCCTGTCCGAAATAGAATTTCTCAACGAATAACTCACTGAAATTGAAATCAGTATTTGTAAGGGATGATATGATTAAGTTATCGTGAGGACGATAGGTTTCATTAGATGATTTAAAATGTATTACTATTCACAGGACATTTTCTCTGTCTGTTTCGATAAGAACGTTGAATTGACACATAACATGAGCTAATCTTCTGCTTTTATTATTAATATGATTTGATATTAATAATTTAGTAAAAATTAGTGATTTTTGTATCTCGAGAGTGTGACTGTGAGTTTTCTCTTCATCTTCACCCACACCCACACCTTCGTATAATTACCGACCAAACAATGGGTTATTTTAACGCGGTAATATGTGCCCTTTTTTTTTACACTAACAAATCGATGAAAAATTAAACTTCATTTGCGTGAAAGGTAATTTTGCGGACATCATCGTTTTCAGACTCGCTTTCTTCGTTAAAAAAAACTGCTTTTGTTTGTTGAAAATGTCAAAACTCAACGTGTCAACAAGTAAAAGCATTTTTCTTTCTGTCAGTTCTTTTTGACTCAACTCTTTTTTCTTCTTTTCGTCAATAAATTTTACCTGTCACATATAAAAAACACGCAGAGAGAACTAGATTCATTTGCTGCTATTTACCTGAAGACAACACATCGTTGTGCAAATTCAAGGTAAGTAATTTAATGAAATGAATGCAAGCTGAAACTTATTTCATCTTTTGCAAATATCTGTGCCTCGACACATACTTCTATAATCAAAGGTTTTGTTAAACGATGTCGACATTTACGAGTGAGAATAATGGAGAATTTAGGGCCTGTTTATTGACAGTTCTTCCATTTGACTTTGAATATGATCTTTTTTACTATTGAACACGAATCGGCAAATATTTTGAAGCAGAACTTTCTTGAGGTGTACGATAGAAATGTTGGTGTGAAAAAGCATTAGGCTGTGAGTATGACGGCGTGGGGGGTGAGAGTGTAGGTGTCAGTATTCTCTTCGGCTCCTTCGATACTCATAGCCGCTCCTATACAGCTCACACTCACACCCTCATATAAACAAATATAGTTAAGATTAAAATAGTGCATATGTTTTCAGAAAAAATCAATACTAAACCTTATGACTGTGACATTTCTAAAATGCATAATAGTTGACCTATTCGACTGTAAAACTCATCATAAGTTTGGTACAAACTTTCTAAATTATTATCCTTTTTTGAGGTTTGGTATATGTGCTCAATGCTCCAAATGATATAGAAAAGTTTCACGACATTTCATAGTTTTCGAGTAGTGCCTATCTTTAGATTTGTCGAAACACTGCAAAAGGTCGTGACCCTTTCGTCTGCAAAAGTTGATCATATGATATAAAAATCTATTAACATCATCATAAGAATGATTATTGACACAATGGTAAAGTCTTAAAAATATATGTCAGATGTATTTTTTTTAAACTTTGTTTTAAATTCTAAAATATCAGTTACGGTTTTTTTTTGAAAAGAATTTTAAGTTCTTATGAATCGCATCAGGAAAACTCTGAATCAAATAAGAATAGACTAAGGAACAGAATATACTGAAATCTTTCATGTTGTAATAACTTTAGCAAGGAAAACTAACTATTCTTGGAATTTATTAAATTTTCTTTCACCGTAGACAGTGTAAAGGTTTTTGATGAATCATGTTCTCTTAGCTACAAAGCTAGAAGCATAGAAAGTAAAATATCTGTTTGTTTTGAAGATGGAAGTTATAGAGAATAGAAATAGTGAATGTTTTTATTGATTATACATAGGATTAATCATGGCAAACGATCATCATCAAATATACAATGATCATGGAAGTTATATTCCTTGTTTTGAAAAGAAACTGATCGAAGAAAACCGTGAAGATGGTTATTGGATTGAAGCATTTCAAGTTGATAATAAAAGTCCTGTTGGTTTAGTAGCCTATGGATTGGGTAAAGGACAAGTCAATTTTTATCCAAATTCGTGCACAACTGTAGAACCTGAAAAAGCAATTCCTATTCAAAAGCTAGCAGGTCCTGTGGCCATGGATCAAGCTGATATCACAGGCAATGGATTTAATGACATTATCATTTGTTATCAATATGGTAATACTATGAAAGATTGTGATCCTCAAGGTGGAAAGATTGTATGGTTGGAAAATCCAGGACAGAAAAATGATCAAAACTCATGGGCGTCACATTATATTGGCAAATCTATAGCGATGCACAGACTTAAAGTTGGTCATTTCACACAAACTGAACGATGGGAGATTATAGGCCTTCCTATTGTAGGTAAACCCTTTGACTTACTCTCACCAGTACCAGTGCTATTATTCCGTCAACCTGATGATGTTTTAAATGCTGAAGAATGGCCTTGTGAAATAATTAATGAAGAATTTTTTCATCTAATTCACGATGCAAAAAAATGTCATGGTAATCCATTAGATAATCTTCTTATTGCATCACGTGAAGGTATTAATTGGCTCTATTTTAATGAAACAATTCAAAAGTGGACTATTGAAAATATTGGAGAAGGTGAACAAGGAGAAAAACAACAGATACCTTATTACGGTAGTGGATGCGTGGATGCAGGAAAAGTTGGAAATGATTCTTTGGCTTATATTGCTACTGTCGAACCTTTTCATGGAAACGTAGTTGCCGTCTATGTCAAAGACACTAACAATAGTTTGAAGCATATTCAATGGAAAAGATATGTGCTAGATGTTTATGGATATCCTAATGTACATGGCGAAGGTCCAGCTCATCATGTCGTTTGTGCTGACTTTGATAAAGATGGAGATGAAGAATTCTTAGTTGCACTTCGAGGACCATTACCCAATCAAGGTGTCTACTATTATAAACCTATTGATATCTCTCGTGGTTTATTTGCCAAGTGGAAAGTGAGCGATGACTCTGCGGCTAGAATCGCTGTTGCAGACTTCAATAATAATGGCCTTCTTGATTTTGCAACTATTGGCTATTATGTTCCTGGCTACTATACAGCTGAAAATCCTTCTATTAGCATTTATTACAATCGATTTGCTAACAAAAACGTACAAGGTACCAAGGAGCTACAAGTTACAAAGCAAAATAATGAACTTCTATTCAAAGTTCCAAGACCACACAAAGCATTACAATACGAAATGATGCCATTTATAACAGTAGGAGGTATAAGTTTATCTTTAGAAGTGATACCACCTAATAGTTTGCGTCAAATCGACAAAAATACTTATGTTAAAGTTCTTTCTGGAATTATAAGGTGGACAAAGTCTTCTACAGAATTATCTCAAACTGTAAATCACTCGCGCACCTTTGTCTGTGAACCAAAAGCTGTTTCGTCTCTTGCCATATGCAGTAATGAGAATGTAATAACAACTGGAAATGAAGGCGCACTTTTGATTGTATTGAAAATGAACGAAACCATGAATACTATTCCTCGATTCGATTCTATGGAAAAAGTTACTATTGAGAACGTCTTACCAGAATACTGTTCTGAAGAAGCTCGTAAACTTAGTTTTCAATTTATGAGATGTGATAAATATGATTGGGGAAAGGAGAAATTCAAAGGTCTTGAATTCTATAATATGAAAGGGTTTGATATTAAGTTTGCTGATAATGATGAACATCTTTGCTATATTCAACTATGGGCTGCTGAACAAGGTACAAACTGTGGAGTACACAACCATGCTGACGCTTTCTTCTGTGAAGTTCATGCTTGTATTATCAATGGTACTGGGAAAGGTGGCATGCAGTATCTTATAAGCTCCAAAGAAGACTATGATCCACTTAATACGCCAAACTCACAATTTCAGAGGTTAGAAGTACCTTCTCTTTATGAACATGGTCCGTTATGGGATATTGATGAACAGAAAAAACCGGTTTTACGAAAAGATGGTACCGTTTTATATCCTTGGCACAAATGGCAACCTGGCACCGATGATTCATCGGTTAAATCATTTGATATATGGATAGCTTTTCAATTCAATGCTCATTTATCAACAATACCTTGAAAGGACCAAAGCAAACTTCTAGCTTACACATGCAAAATAAATTAACTGACTCTTCATTGAAAAAATATTAAAAAATAACTCTTATCTTTTATCTTCACCACAAAACTGCTATTTTCTAGAGATTTTTCCTTTATTTTTTTGTTATCATATTAGTTTCCCAATAGGCTTAAGTTAGACAACTTATATTCATGTGAATTAATATGAGAATATCGATTTTGAATAACCTACACTCAATGTCCCTGATAATAATAATATTTTCCAAGGCTTGAATAGGTTTATTTTTATTAAGTCATTTCTATATTAAAATATAAGCATTTTTACAGCTTTGAGTTCAAAAATGTCTGGTGAATCGAATAACATGCAGGTAGGTATTTTTTGGAATAGCTTTGCATCCCAACCACATATAGACTTCGAAATTTTGTCGTTTGAAAGAGGCTTACTCAGCGCATCGATCCATACATTATTGTTGAAGTTCATTATATGAACCAGTAGTAGAATAAGGTCATCCTGAACAATTAACCTTTTGCTCTATGAAGAAAGAATAAATTTTTTAATTTTGAGAAATGGACTAATATCACCAGCTGACAGTCTACAAATTGACGAAAGATCGAAATTTCTAGAATGTGGATGCGGGATATGGAGTGTGTGTGACTGTGTACAAGATCTGTCTTTTAGTGCATACTCTTGTAATCTTTCAAGCTACGCCAACTTCCTCTATGACTCCATAATTTTCCTTTTGAGTCATTGTATACGTAATCCATTTGTCGTGTTCTTTCATCATTATTTGTTGTCGCCGAAAGTTTATGTTTTTTTTTCTTTTCGTCGTTTTGAGTCACCACACGCTTGTATTGGTTCTTTTTTTTGCGTCGTATTTATTTTTGTCTTCAAATTGTGGGCGTATGCTGCTCTTTTCATTCCTATATAACATGCCACTTTCTATACCACATTCCTCGTTTTCATCATTCTGCAAAACAAATATACTTTTATAACTCCACTATGACTGTTCGTGTTGTTTCATATAATTTATTAGTACCTATCTATGCTGATCGGCCAGAGTATTACTTCAAATGCCAGCCTGAATATCTTAAAACCGATTATCGATGGATTTTAATCCAATCTGAATTAGAACAAGAGATTGTCAATCATGAAAATACGATCATCTGTTTACAAGAACTATCTCTTCCTCTATTACCTAAACTCGAATTATTGTTCCGTCGATTAAATTACACATTCTTGCATAATCTATATGGTGATCGCCACAACGATTATATGGGTGTAGGTATGGCGATTCCCATCTCGATGCAGCTTAACTCCATTTCTATCATCAAAATTGGAGATCATATACGCTTGATGTGTCAATCTCGTGAAGAAGAGACGCAACTTTTTTCATGGGGTTGGGATCTGTATCAGTTTGCCATGAGCAAATTCATACAACCCACATGTGATCCTTGGAAAACTGCTATGGCCAGAGCAAATACACTCATTTATTTACAAGTCGTGATCGATAGTAAACCATTATGTATTGCTACGTACCATATGCCTTGTCTTTACAAAGAACCTGACGTCATGGCAATTCATTCTTCGATTGTGAAAGATTTAATGTTTCAATTAGCAGCTGGACAAGATTTTATCTTAGCAGGTGACTTCAATATCAAACCTCGGGACCTCTGTTATCAACTTTTAACAGAAAAAGGTGATGCTAAGTACAATTTACCGAAATCTAATACTTATGAAATCTCATATCGACCTAATCATGAACAAGTATTGAAGAGTGCTTATCGAGAGAAGAATGGAACCGAACCGGTTTACACAGATTTTTCTCATACACCCCATTCGCCAAACTTTTGTGAGACACTGGATTACATCTTTTTTAATGGTAGCCTTACTGTAGAAAAAGTGTTGGAATTACCAGATCATCCAACTGGTGAATCTTATCCTGATGAAACACATCCTTCTGACCATCTAATGATTGCCGCGACATTCCAATTGTGATAAATTTAAAAGAGACGTTGGCGTTTTTTCTTACCCTCCCGACAAGACAAACTTGCGCTCATCTATAAGAAATATTAATTTTTATGCACATAAAAAAAGGAGAGCTTTAAATCACCGAAGAGGAAAACAGAAACTAATGCAAATAGTCATTTAGTACTATTTCTCTAAAGTTTATATTCCTTCAATAAAAATAAAATACAAGTATGCTTTTATATTCAGAATTTGAAATCATTTCTACTCTTCGATTTATCATTGCACTAAAGTAGGATGTGGGTATGGATGGGTGTGTGGGTGAGAATGTGGATACTAGTGTGGGTGTAGGGTGTGTATGAGAAGAGATCTTAAGAAACTACCACAGCCATGCCAACAGCCGCCCACACCTACATTTGCACTCACACCCAACCCACACTCTTCAAAAAGCTATAGCTACAAAATACTTGATATTAATTTCACTATGAATCATTGCCATAGTAATGGAAACGCGATGATCAATTTGATTCTTAATTGCTATGTAATCGAACAGAAGCAACGAGACTAGAAGCAAAGTGATTTTTATAATACATTTTCAATGGAAAAATGATTTGAGCACCTCAATATTTTAGTGAGAGCTTTTGACTTTTACAAAGAAACTTTCTAACACGAGGAATCTGTACTTGATCCTACGTCAGTAAATGAATGACGGATAACGTTGAGAGACTAAACTACAGGAAAATATGCTTTTGCATTTCAATCGTGTTTTCTTCGAACGTTTTTTAAAATGATTCATTCGTAACAAGATTTTTTTCCGTGAAAAGGAATTCTACACACCGTAACTGTTATATTTCCATTTTTGAAACAATCATAGGAATAAAAATCAACAATTTAGATATACCTATATCGGTCACATTCATGTATTGAAACGTTGTTGATAACTTGTTCAATAAAGTAACCAAGAAAAGTTATTGAAACAAATTCATTTTTCGTAACTCGTTTTAGTAGATATGAAGCGAATATATTTCACATTTAAAACTCAGCGGGGTGACTTTGAAAGAACTTTTTTTGCCAAGCGCAACAAATAGAAGAACCTGCAAACAATATTGTCAGTAGATCAACTATGTGAAGCAATATCAAGTTTCGTAAAAAATTCTTCGATGTATTTAAGTTGAAATTATTTTTGAACATGAGAAAAGCATGATTAGTTATCATGTGTACTATCAACATTGAATGCCATTGTATATACTTACACGAATGACGATTAGCAGAAGATCACCTTGTCTCGTTTCGATCGAGAATCCATTTGAATACTCTGTAAATCGTTGACTAATCGATGAAAACTATTTTGATGCAATCTTCTTGAATCGTGTCAATTGATACTCAGCTAAATACAATTGAAGAGAGCGATGAAATAAATGATGATTATAGAAATAGTCACGTAGTTTTTCAATTAAATCTATATAATTAGAAACATTTTCGTGTTCAAGAAAAATTTGTTCATTGACAAGTAAAGCATGCATTCTCATAGCATTATCATCATCTCGTATAGGTTTCACTTGATCCGATGTTTGACATTCATGTTGAAAATTGTAAACTTCATTGAGGATAAAAATATCCGATGTTTGTTGTTCATTTAAACCTTGTGAAAAAAAATACAATGCCATATCAAGATCGATTGTATATCGACAGCTCCATCAAGTGGTAACAGTTCAAAAAATAAATCAGCATTAATTCTTGAATCGTGATGCGCAACTAGCATCATCAACATGAAGTTGTTACGATTTTTCTGAAATGTTGTTCTGTGTATCTAGAAGAAGAATTTTGATGATGTCGATATGTTTTTCATCCATACAGCATAATCAAGAGCAGTTTGATCAGAATAATCCTATTCTTTAGGGTCTGCGCCGTATTTTAAAAGGCCATTAACAATTTCGAGATGATCACATCGAGACGCTTCATCCAATGTATTGTTATGATAGACTCTCGGAAGATTACATCCTTGGTTTAATAGATACTCGACCAGTGTTTGATGATCTTCTCTAACAGTGACTAGTAAGATGCTAGTTTAATGAGTTCTCGAACAAGATTCAAATTACCTCTTTCGCATGCATAATATACTGGTGTTCTATCAGAATAAAAATAGCCATCTATTATGACTCATTACTTAAAGTCAAAATTCACCACAATGGTACGATAAGATAGAATCGGAATTTCTAATCAAGTTGTGTTTGTTTTCACTTTTTTCACACAATCTTTTGTGGCCGTATTAAAATTAGAATATATCTTGTTAACCATACCTTAACGTAAATGGTACAACAGAAAACGTTGATTTGTTTTCTCTTGAGTCATGAGTTTGTCTTTTTGATAAAGTTAGCTACACTTGCGCTGTTCGTATGTGATAGCTTCTCTGTTGAGACATCTTTGAGAGAAAAAGCATAGTACCATCAAAGCGGCAGCCTTATTAATATAATATATTCTTTTGATGTCGCAATGTGAGAATGAATGGGAGGTATCCACCTAAATGTCATGTCGTTGGGAAATATTCTAGTTCTATCGATTATATCTCATCGCAAACTTAATGGTGACTCAAAGCAAAAGGAATATAACGCAATATATGTTATCGAGATATTTCCAATTAAGGATGTGGATGATGCACATGGCTAACATGTACGCCTGCGAGTCATTATTGAAGAGCAGCGTATGATCGAAAACAAATTAACCATGTTGGAATGAATTTTTGGGTGTGATTGAAGAGAAAATCCATGCTAATACCTATACGCCATAAATGAATACTCAAAACAGTGAAAACCCTATTAGTGAACACCTCTCTACTCTAAAAACTAGTTTAGATGAACACGTAAATTTTGTTTTGCTTTCTTCTCTGTTTTTTTCCTAACTAATTCACTAAAACTGACTACTTATTGTTTATTACAAGTGTACATATCAGGCAAACCATGATATCTTAACGTCTTTTTACATTAAATGATGACAATGGTGGTAATCATCTACCACAACGTAAATTAGCTGAAAAATATAATATTTCACTTTGTTTTATGTCATATATATCATAATGAGAAAAAGAATTGTTACATGATTATCAAACAAATCAGAATCGAAGTATTAAACGGAAATTCAAAAGTTTCGATTCTTTAAAATCAAAATTAATTGACATTTGGATTGATTTGAACAACAAAGGCAACCAAATAGAGAGGACTTTTTAAAAGTAAGTTAAGCTTTTTGTTTTATTCAAAAATTTTTTAATTTAAATAAATTATCATGAGGAAAAAAGATGAAAAGAAGAAAAAGTGAGTTCCAATTACTTCAAAACTATTACAAGGAGCGCATCTTCTGAAATTTCACTTCATTTCGCAGCAAGCCCCATGACACCTTCCTCCAAAACTAAACACTTTTTGAAAGTTCCGACGGTGTTCATCTAAGAGAGGTTTTACTGTAGATAGTATTTAGCATGTTTGATTCTATCTTTGATGATATGTCTCTTCTCATATATTGAAGTGTTGCTAAGAATATATTCATTGATCTTTATTTTGTGGAATTTTACATTAATGTTTTTTTCCTTTAAAAGCACTGATTGAGCGGTAATATCTTTAATGAAATGAAAATTTCACGCATGATATGACGAGAATCTGATTCATTATTAACGCACTAAAAGTTGAAAATGAATTGTGATTGAAATGATTCAACCACATACGATCAATTATTGGCTTACTGAATAATTATTTTGAGTATCTTCTAGAATTATTGAATGTAGCTTTTGAAGAATATATACGTTCTTCTAGAAAAATCAAAAGAAACGAAATTTTAAATTGAATGTCCTCCCTTTCAATCCCTTTATATTGTAGTCAAGGAATACTTTTTTATAGATGTCATATCGTGATAATAGAACGTATGTGTAGCAATGAAAGATACACATAGCATTTTCTTATGCAGCTACCTTTTTTTAAGTGATATGATTGGGTGAAACTTAATAAAAATTCTTTATTTTCTCCAAAACGCTTTCTCTTAACAAAAAAAAATCAAAGTCAGAATTTTGCGCTACTTGCTGATCCAGTAACTGATGAAGTAGTTGCCTGTGTAATGGTAAATCCCCACCCATAACTAATGCTAATTCAGAGGTAGAGAGCCACTAATTTCAGATCTTTGAACCGATGTACCCTATAAACGCTTGTAAGCAACAAAAAAGGTTAAGGTCTACTCATTAATGATACAAATTAATAAAATGTGCTACGATTCAATGCAAGGCTAGATTAAAAAAAAGATTTTGCTTGAAAAAATCAAGATATATTTTACAGAAATCTGTCCGACTCCATAAAGCTGGAGTGCTGTGGAGTCCCTTGTCTCTTTCTTGGTCTATCATCTACAACACGGTAATCTGTTCAATTTCACCATTGTATCTATTTGTCTGAAACAAGTTTTTAAAGTGTACTTCCTTTTAACTTAATCCCCATATATGTTGTTTTCCTTTGTGTTATATCAAATACATTTCCAAATGATTGATAACTCAAGTTGATTTTATCTAATAGTAAAAGAAAGCCTTTCTTTTCTTCCTTTCAAAAGATATGCAATACAATATATGTGAAATACTTTTGAGTAGGTTTGGTGACTATCATTATCATAAACCAAGTAAGTATCATTTAGTTATGTCTTCTTCTAAATTATTCAAATGATTTTTTTATGATATACAATGAAATTTGTCGAGCAAAATGTAGAAACGGTGCCACTTCAAAATACCATTCGTCGATTAATCTGAAAACTTTATAAACGTCTATTTCCATTTATCATGCTCCTCAAAATATGTTCGTTAAGTTCTGAATATATTATAAATATTCTGTGTACGTTTCTTTGATACAACACTCCAGAACTTTCAGTTTCTATAGGTCATACTCGATTAACTACATTTAAAACTGATCTAGGCTTATCTAGAACAGAAAATAACTAGGTAATATCTTTGGTTCACGTAGCTTATGTAAATTAGAATCGAACGCATTGTATCGCAGACATCGATTACA